GTCCTTGGGCCCCTGCCCGCATGTGAGGTGCTCAAAAAAGCTCCAGCCTCCTGGATTTGGACCAGCCCAGCTCTGGCCATGGAGGTCATTTGAGAAGTGAACCAGAGAGTGGAAGATCTGTTTCTGTATCTTCTCACACTGTAACTCTGCCTTTCAAATAAAAGTAATTTTTTTTAAGTAAGATAAACAAAAACAGAATAGTTTTAAAACAGCTTGGCACCAACATTCCATTTCTGATTAAAATATCAATTATCTGTTCTTGGAAGAGGTATATAACCAACAAGTAGAAACTCAAAGATAAAAGAAAAAAAATTTTTTAAAGTAACAATGTGAATGAAGTTAACATTGATTAAACAGCATTAATAACATTCTCACTGGGTTTTAAAGGGAAAATATCCATAAAACATCATCTTAATGGAAAGAAATAATTAGATTTAAGCTACTTACTCTATGTCCATATTAACAGCCTAAATAATTAAAATCCATAACATATCTCAAATATTGACAGATCATCCATAAAGGACACTGTTACAAGAGTTCAGACCTATGATTTAAACTAAACAGCACAGTCTACTGGGGAGTTATAGCTCATGTGCACTCTAGGGTAGAATAAAGGTCTGTTTTAAAGAACAAGTTTTGTTCTTCAAAACAAAAAATCATCTTAGAACACACTAAGCAAATTTATGAGAATACTCTTGAAATGCGTAGAGGTGCTTATAAATCATGTAGTGATAATACACACAAGAAGAGGAATTGGTCTGCTATAAAAAAGTAAATTTTATCACTTTTTTGTCTTATAGATCTAAAATAAATACACTTTAAAAACTATTCTGTAATAAAGTGTGGTCTTTCTAACATTTTATTATTTACTCGCTTCACACTTGACACAGAATCTCAGTAATCGGTAATATGTGGATATTAGTTTACTGAAATGGAGTACTGCTAATCCTATTTTTGTGCAACTGGAGTTATTATTTCAGGAACCTGTTCTAGAAATGAGCAATGTTTTGACTGTTAAAGATTGTAAACCATTAATGAAACCGGAAAGCAAATTGAAAAAGAAAATGTACCAGCATTACATACTGAATTTCTACTTTTTATTTTCTAACACTCAGATACTATATGTATACATCTACATCCATGTCAATATAAAGAAGTTCTCCTAAAATTATAAATGACCTGGTAAAGGCATCCAGGTGCCACATGAATGCCAAGTTTGACTCCTTGTCTAGGTTTGACTTTTTCTTTGATTGCCAGCCCCATTCCCCAACTTCTGCTTCCCAACAATGCAGACTTTGAGAGGTAACAAAGATTGCTCAGGCTGTTTGATTTCGATTTGTTATCAATGTGTTAGGTCTCAAGTGAATGGATTATATGCCAATTAAAACCTAAATTTTAAATTAGCATTGAACTTCAAAATATCTTGGGAACATCTGCTGTGCATGCATCTTCCAAGGCTGTCTGTCATAACACCCATTACCGACACTGAATGCCTGGAATGAATAACTGGATTCAACCCTTTAGCCCCGCATAATGAAGCCATTGAAAGCACATGAGGGTGTGAACCACTAACTGAACGGTATGCTCACTTGTCTGCTCTATCTCTTCCTCTCTCAATACCTCACTACAGAAAAATAACAAAAATGACAAATATTATTCATGATATTAATCTATTTTGTTGATTAGATTTTGTTATTTTTCAATAGGAATCTTCTCAAAGTAAAAATCCATTTTCCATTGGGTATTATTAAATCTATACATATATAAAATCCACACAAATCTAAGTACACACATTCTAAACAAGCTGAAAATCAGTAACAAAAAAAATGAATGCTTGGCAATTTAATGAGATAGTTTTTAAAATGAATTTATCCCTACTTCTTAAGGGATTATTAAATCAGGGAAGAAGTTCCATCAGTTTCTTCACTACACTTATAGATTGATCTCATGTATTATTATATCAAGTAGTGCTTTTTTTTTTTTAAGAAGAACTATCAAGTAGTACAACTCAGCATTCACAGTTTGAAGCTTCTAAAATGTGTACTTCCAATTGAGAGATACAATTGCAAGCAACAGCCTACACAGGCGAAACAGAAAAAGTGACTGAGGAAGTACAATAGGATTGAGTGTAACATTCGAATCCCAACCTGTAATCCAGTTTGTAAGAAGATAAAGAATGGAAGTACCAGTCTAAACACCATTGAATCATACAAACTGATCATAATACAACACAAGGTGACACCTTTTTCTCAAAGGGACACAAGACTCACTGAGTCAGGTGATTCAATTACCCTCTCATCCTGGAAAGACGCTGCCTCCCATCTGGACGTCCGTGGGCAGAGCAACATGGGACAGTCAATATCTACAAAGCCGCAGGCTTCAAAGAACATGAATGCCTGACCTTTTGTGACTGCTACGGTGATTCTTCAACATAACACTGCCTTATTATTTCTAAAATGTCTGGCGACCAAACATCTTCAAAATATGCATACTGCTTCATTAAGCAGTGAAGAATATGGGAAAATTAATGAAGTGGAAGAAGTTTTCTTAAAATAGAGAGGATTTTGATTGGCTCAGGCATTTTATAAACTTTTTGAAGAAATAGCACTAGTAGCTATTGGGTTTCTGTTTCAATAAATGTGCCTAGGTCTTGAATAAGTAGATTGTGTCCTAATTAAAACCTAAAATTGTAAGGTTGTCTATCATTACTCTCATAGTTTCTAATGTTTGAGTCCCAGTGTGCTAATTTAAATATATTTAATATTCAGGTATTTTGCTTCATTGCTTGTTGATGAGACCATTATTAAACAAGTAACATTTCACATACATTTCTCATAAAATTTCACACTAAGTTAAAGTACATGTGATGATAAATATTTGGGATACTAGAAAGTTTATAAATGATAGTACTTTCTGAATTCATTTTCTTAATTATGAACTACATACAAACATTGAGAAATTTCTGCTCCCTACAGGATGAAGTCCCACATAATGAGCATAGTTTTAAATACTTCCTTAATTTAACCTACATCTATTTATCTAGTTTCGTTCCCACCAATCATTTGCTTATAGCATTGTTTCCATTCTAGCTATCTTAAATTATTAACATTTCTTGAAACCTGTCATGAACAAGCATTGTGCATTCCTGATTTTTTTTTAACCTTCTGAGACTGTGGTACCAGCAATACCAAATTATACTTTTAAACTAGGTTTCACTTCTTGCTCTTGATTATGAACTTTTGTTTTACAAAAGATTATTGATCTGAAAGGCAGAATAACAGAGAGAGAGACAGACAGACAGAGAAGTACAGAGAGAGAGATAGAAATCTTTCATTGCTGGTTCACTCACCAAATAGCTGTAATGGTCAGGACTGGACAGAATGAACTGAAGTGCCAGGAAATTTATCTAGGTCCCACAACCCTTGGGTCTTATCCCATTGCTTCACCAAGCACATTAGCACCAATTATTAGTGGAACAGCTGAAATGCATCTGGGATGCAGGTTTTGCATTTAGTGAATTGACCGAATAGGCCACAACACCAGACCCAGATTATGACCTTTGCAAACTCCTAAACCACAACAGCGACCTCATCCTTACCAGACACCCAACACTGCATTTGTCACATTCTAGTTTTGGATGAAGAATTGCACCACAAACACAGCAACCACTTCTGCAGGATCTACCATATTGAATGATCAGGAAAACTAATCCTTCCATTTAAACAAAATGTTTGAGTAATTATTATGTTAAACATTTTCATATGCAAGGACTAACATTACTCAACTTACAGAGCAATATTATAAGACAAGTGATATCTGTCCTTCCTAAGTGAAAGTAAAGACACGACTAATTTTCCCTGGGTGCACAATGAGTGGTCGAACTGAAAATTAAACCCAGATTTCAAATCCTTATAAATCTGACCATATAGATTAAAGCCATGCTTCTATACCTAAATAATAACTGTTATAGCTCTTGAAATCCTAACATAATATAAATTTACTGTTTATCACTGAAAGTCATTTTAACTAATTGACATGCTTAGAAATTATTATTTTTATATTAAAAAAATGGTTATTGAAGCAGGACCTACTGGATCATTATAACATTTTGCAATATGGATGTCAAGCTTTGTTAAAAGAAAGACTGTCTATCTGGATGTCAAAGGAGATCTTATTGGATCTTTATGACATTGTAGGTCATTTAGATCTAAACATTTTACCTCAATTTAGATCAATGAGCTTTGTGAAGCTAAACATTCTTTAAAAACTTGTGGGAGGCCATCAGGTGTTATTCATTCGTTAAAGTCTAAGACATTCAGTCAAGAGTTCTCAATGCTCCTTTCATTAAAAAAATGCATAACATTAATCTACCAATCAGTCAAAAACATTCACTTAGGGACTGAAAACTGGTTTTAGCCTCATACAGGCTAAAAATAACAAAGATCAAGTTTTTTGTTGTTCTGCTCATGGTCATAAAAGATTGCTTGCTATTTTTTGGTTACTTTTAATTGCAGTTATAACAGTGTCTATTGATTATTTGAAATATTAAATATATTAATTTCATTTAGAGGGAAAATTTCATTCCACCATGAATTTCAGTATTCTAGATTTAATACAAAAGCATGCTTTAAACAAGGATATTTCACAAATTTTAAATGTGCTGTAATAATCAGTGACAATCCCAACTAAAACTACTTAGCAAGCTTATGACAGAGTGTACAATTTTCAATCAGTATCTTTTGCATAATAACCATGAAATTAAAAATAAACTAATATTTCAAACAGAACACATTCATTTCCACAACAAGCAAATGTCAAATTGGAAGAGTTAAATTAATAAATTATGTTCTATTTCCAAATTCCAATAGAAATCATATCTTTAATGATTTCATTGCATTTACTAACATAAGCTTTATGTTTTAACAACTGATAATAAAAAAATAGAGATCAAAATCAAATGCTATTATTAATTTCATGTGCAGCGTTAAATCTGAATTTACCTTGTTTGCAATACTTGTGATGAAAGATTTAATGTCTAGATTAGTTGGACAGCTCTTCTGACAGGGGGCATCTGCACATTTCAGACATCTAGGAAAGAAAATAACCACATTTAAATAACACAAAATAATGAAAGTAATCTATGAGATATTTGCATATTCCCTATCTTATCTACATACTTACAAATACTCATACCTGTTGAGCAAGTATAAGAAAATTTTTAGATACAAAATGCTTTGTCCTTCTTGAGAGACTGACAGACACACAGGGAGAAACAGAGAAAAAGTTTTCCTTCTCTAGTTCAGTTCAAATACCTGCAACAGCCAGGGCTGAACTCAGGAGCTGGAACTCAATCCAGTTCTCCCCTTCCATGCAAGAGCTCATTTACATGAGCCATGACCTATAGTCTCCCACAGTGTGCATTGACAGGAAGCTGGGGTTAGGATCCAAGGCCAGGAACTGAAACTGTGAGAGTAGATATCTTCAATGATAGGCTAACCACTTACTCCCCTATACAACGTTTTGCTTTGTTCCTGCATATTAATATCCAAGTTTCAACTTTTTCTTATTCTTCAAAGGGCATAATATAGTATCATTTTAGACAATATCTATCCCCCTATGAGTTAAAACTGAATTTTAGACAAGATTGGGCACATTCAGGGTGGTATGGCCGTAGACACAACTGAATTTTAACACCATCACACCTATTTAAGATGATCGTTTCGGAGTTTTAAGATGGCCGACGTAGGAGGAAGGCTGTGAGGGAGCGTTCAGCGAGATAGGGATAAAACACTACAGAAGCAGCAAAGAGGAACAGCAGGGAACCGCAGGGAGAGGTCTGTGAAGCTCCCTGGGACAGTGTGGAGCCAAAAAGATCCACACAACTCGGAAGAACAACGAGAACGGAGCAGGACAAAGGTAGAGAAACCGACATCCCACTCCAGACCTGCAGAGTCACTTTTGAAAACGGCCTGACGGGAGACGCTGCCAGCTCGGAGGCAGGGAGATCGGGTGGATCGTCGCCGGCGGGAAGCCTTTGACAGCGGCGGAGGCAGACTGCAGCAGCCGGACGTTTGGTGAGCGGGGGGGGGGTTGACGTGGCAGCCTCCGCATTCCTCGCCCCCTACTGAGGTTCCAGCCTCTGAGAAGGCGGGGCAGGCAGCCTGAAACGGTTGGGTCTGTGCCTTGGGAACTACGCGCAGTGGTGTTGGTGGTGAGGGAAGGCGCCTCGGATGTTCCTGCGCTGAGGGGGGCCAGTGCGTCTCGGTGCGCAGAGGCTGCTGGCGAGGATCTGGAGTCCCCCACATCCTGCCTGGTGGAGGATTCTGATCGCTGCCTGCAGCAGCCGCCTCTGCAGCGCAGGTGTCAGGTGTCAGGGGTCAGGAGAGCTCCCAGTTTTGGGAAGTGTAGCGCTGTGTGTCCCTGGCACGCAGGTACCACTCCCATAGGGTGAACTGCTCACTCCTAGCCTCCCACCCCGCAGTTCTGAGCGTGGGCGACCCACCAGGAGAGCTCTGAAAACTCCTGCATCACACTGACACGGTGAGAACCTGCCGTGAAGTCATTATAACAGGGCGCCTGGGTCACTCCTCCGCTAAGGGCCTGTGTGGGGGAGCCACACGGGAGCAGGGGCTCTGAACACCCACACACCACGAGTGGTGGATTCACTGCACAAGAGCCACGCCTGGAAAGTGCCTCACCCACAGTCCCGTGTGTGGGAGACGCAACAGGTGGGCCCTGAAAAACCCTGCAGTCCCTGACACGGAGAACGCAGGGAGAAAGCACATAAAACCTTCTAAGCCCTGGGGATTCCCGCACAGGGGGCACACCCAGAGAGCGCCTCCATCCCTCCACGCCCTGGGGTGTCACACCTGTAGAAGAGGTGCCCAGAGTGTGCCTGGAATCCACTGGGCCCCCAAGGTGGTGCTCTACAGCCCCGGGCCCTGAGAACGCACCAACGGTGCCTTGAAAATTACCACGCCCGGCAACACCACGCCTGCAGGCTCCAATCTCTACAGGAAAGCACCTGACAGCCCCTCAACACACGGGTCCATTTGCCCCACCAGAATACACCAACGCAATGGGAAAAACCACCAGAAAGAGTTGTGCTCCAGATGAAAGAGCCAGCACCCCACCAAACAAGGGCCAAAAGCCATTATCAATATCGGCGATGCGAGATGAAGACATGGAAGTGTTACCAACAAAGGAATTGATGAAAATAATGCTAAAATCTCTCAGAGACGTGGACACAAAGCTGGAAGACCTCCAGAACCGCATAATCACCGAAATACAACAAATCAAAACCAAACTGGATGCCCAAGAGAATAAAATTGAAAGCCTCATCAACAGAATAAATGCGGCAGAGGAAAGGATCTCTGAAACAGAAGACACACAAAATGAAGGTGTCCAGCGAATTAAACAGCTGGAGACAAACCTCAGCAAAACTAATAAAATGATGCAAGATATGAAAGATTACCTTAGAAAACTGAATATTCGGATCATCGGCCTCCCCGAGGGAGTAGAAAGAGAATCTGGGATGCAAGCAGTGCTTGATGAAATTATACAGGAAAACTTCCAAAACACTTGGAACACAAATCCACCCCGCATACAGGATGGACAGAGAACTCCCAACAGACATGATCCAAAGAGATCTTCACCCAGACACACGGTGCTCAAGTTCTACTCCAATGAAGACAAAGAAGGAATCCTGAGACAAGTACGAAGTAGAGAAAAGATCACATACAGGGGAAAACCCATCAGAATCACTGCTGACTTCTCCGAAGAGACCCTACAGGCAAGGAGAGAATGGACAAAGATCTTCCAAGTCCTGAAACAAAACAACTGTCAACCAAAAATAATCTACCCAGCAAAGATCTCATTTGTATATGAGAACGAAATCAGATACTTCAATAGCAAAGAAAAACTAGAAGAATATGTCTACACAAAACCAGCTCTGCAAAGTCTCCTTAGAAATGCGCTAGTCCCAGACAAAAAGGAGGCAAATCACAAACAAAGTTGGCAAATAAGAAGGTCTCCAAACTAAAGGCCACACAAACAAGACAATTACATAGGCAACAACACACACGCAACACAATCACATGGCAGGGCAAAATTGCAACCTCTCAATTTTAACTCTCAACACAAATGGTCTAAATTCACCAATCAAAAGACAGAGATTAATAGAATGGATCATCAAACAAGACCCAACCATCTGTTGCCTATAAGAAACGCATCTAACCAGAAAGGATGCAAAGAAACTGAAAGTGAAGGGATGGAAAAAGATATTTCACGCCAATAGACGAGAAAAAAAAGCTGGGGTAGCTATCCTAATTTCAGACGAAATAGATTTCATTCTAACTAACATCAAAAGAGACAGGGAAGGCCATTTTATACTGGTGAAAGGAATGATCCATCAAGAAGCAATCACCATCATTAATGTTTATGCACCGAATCTTAATGCACCTAGTTACGTAAAGCAATTACTTACAGACTTAAGGGAAGACATAGACACCCGCACAATTCTTGTAGGCGATCTCAACACACCTCTAACAACAATGGACCGGTCTACGAAACAAAAACTCAACAAAGAAACAACAGAGCTCACACAAACAATAGAACAACTGGACTTAGTAGACATATATAGAACTTTTTATCCTAAGGCCACAGACTATACATTCTTCTCAGCGGTACATGGCACCTTCTCCAGAATCGACCACATGATAGGACATAAAGCGAATCTAAACAACTTCCAAAACATTAGTATCATACCATGTACCCTCTCAGACCACCATGGGATGAAACTGGAAATCAACAACTCAAAACTCCCCAGGAAGTATAGGCACTCTTGGAAATTGAACAATATGCTATTAAACGAACAATGGGTCAGAGAAGAAATTAAAGATGAGATCAAAAAATTCATGGAAACCAATGAAAACTCTGATACTACATTCCAAAACTTGTGGGACACCGCCAAAGCAGTGCTACGAGGTAGATTCATCGCAATCGGAGCGCATGTCAAGGCCCAAGAAAGACGCCAAATACAGGAACTAACCACACACCTCCAGGATCTGGAAAAACAGCAGCAGAAGAGTCCCACGCACAATAGGAAACAAGAAATCATCAAAACAAGGGAGGAGATAAACCAAATAGAAATCAAAAAAACTATACATAAAATCAACAAATCAAAAAGTTGGTTTTTTGAGAAAATAAACAAAATAGACACTCCACTGGCCCGATTGACCAAAAAAAAACAAGAGAAAGTGAGAATCAACAGCATTAAAGATGAAAAAGGCAACATAACAACAGACACTGCAATCATTAAGAAAATAATTAGAAATTACTACAAAGAACTGTACTCCCACAAATTTGAGGACCACCAAGAAATAGAAAAGTTCTTGGACTCCCACCATTTACCAAAACTCAGTCCGGAGGCAACTGCAGAATTAAATAAACCCATAACCGAGGTAGAGATTGAAACAGTCATCAAGGATCTCCCAACGAAAAAAAGCCCAGGCCCAGACGGCTTCACTACAGAATTCTACAAAACATTCCGAACAGAACTAACCCCAATCCTCTACAGGCTCTTCAAAACAATAGAGGAGGAAGCAACCCTCCCAAACTCATTCTATGAAGCCAACATCACCTTAATCCCAAAACCGGATAGAGAACCATCAGAGAAGGAAAACTACAGACCTATTTCTCTGATGAACATTGATGCTAAAATTCTCAACAAAATCCTAGCCAATAGAATTCAAAAAATCATCAGACAGATCATTCATCCGGATCAAGTAGGATTCATCCCTGGAATGCAGGGATGGTTCAACATTCGGAAATCCATAAATGTTATAAACCATATCCAAAAACTGCAAAACAAGAACCACATAATAGTTTCAATAGATGCAGAAAAAGCTTTCGACAAAATCCAACACCTCTTCATGCTAAAAACTCTAGCCAAAGTAGGCATAGATGGGAAAATCCACAACATAATTAAAGCAATTTATGAAAAACCCAACGCCAGTATCATACTGAATGGAGAAAAGCTAGAACCCTTCCCACTGAGATCTGGAACAAGACAAGGGTGCCCACTATCA